GTTTCTTCCTCCTCAGGGGGGGGAGGGGGAAGAAACTTCATAAGTTTATGTATAGGGGGGTCGTACCGAACCCCCAAAAAGGGGGGGGGTCGTACGGGCTTCACCAAATGCTGTGCCCTGGTGTGAGCTAGAGAGTGGTGTCTTCGGACACTGCTCTGGTTCGAATAAACAGTTGCATCTCACGGTTATCAGTTCGCCTTCAACCCACGGGGCCGAGGTGGCATCCGTGACTGTTTCGATAATAGTGTTTTTATCGAACCATGGCGCCGGGTCATGACAATCTATAATTGGAAGATTGTGATTAAGATTAGAAACAGAGTCCTTCAGGAATGCCATTTGGAAGGTATCCGCTAGAACCTCAGCTCTATCAATCTCCTGTCATAGCCCTTGCTGCGTTCTCTACCAAAAGTGTACCTACTTTCTGTTTGTTCCGCAGTCTAGTCCTGAGAAGAGCGTAAAGAGCTTTCAATCCACCCCTGGATAGTTTTTTCTTTCCGTAAGCATTATACTTGTGAAGCTTTTTCGACCATTTTCTGCTCAAATTATGAAGGGCATTCCAGTCATTCGGACACTGAAAAGCCACAGCCTTCCTCCATAACCGCTCTATACGTTTTTCAATTGAATGTAGATAACTCGGTAGCCTGTGATGTTCACACAGAGGTTTCAATCTGTAAGGGATGAACATGTCCATGGCATGATGGAGGATTTTCAAGAGCATTCCATACTTTTCATTCAGTCCTAAAATATTGTTAAATGAACCTAGCCAATCCACATTTCTCAGGTATACTCTCATAGCCTCAAAATTAGCTTTCTTATAATCTCTCTGCCAGACAAGTTTATGAGGTGAACTATGAGTGGAGAGACTAAATTAGATAACACAATGGTCACTATGACCTAATGGTGGACAGTTGCGAACTCCATGTATAAGAGATTGACCGTTACACAAAAGGAGATCTAGAACCGAGTCGTACCTGGTTGGAGAAGAGTTAGCTTGTACATATCCATTAGATTCAAATAGGCTTAAAAAAATCAAGTCATTCTGGGTCTGAGTCAAGAAAAGCATGTGAGTCAATGAGATGAGGAAGATTGAAGTCTTCAGCTAATAAACATATGTTATCACACGCACTCAAATTACTGATGGCTCTAGTGAGTTGGTCATTTTTTACCGTGGTGTAAGAAGGCGATCTATAAACAGCAATAACTCTGAGTTCCATAGAGTGAAACCAGATATCGCAGACCAATATTTCATATGAATCTTTTACTGACTCACTAAGGACTATGATAGTTGAATAAGGATACTTAACCATGACGGCCACACCCCCACCTCTTCTGTCTATCCTACCTGAACGATGAATTTCAAACTGTGTTCCCGATAACCCAAGCAAAGGAGTCGCATCGATCGTGGAATCAACCATGGTCCAGTCAAAATAATCAGATCATGGTTTTCTTTACAAATAAAATCAGCCAGTGCATCAGCGTTTTTACCGAATATTGGATAGGACACAATTTATACAAAACTGATCAAACCGCGGAATGTTTAAATTTACTACAGGATCTACAATATTATCATATTTAGTACCAGAGGAATTTGATAAACAGTCATGCCAGGGAGAAGTTATCAGTTTCCCCTCAGTGCCGCCGTGAAAATGATCAACGTGATTGGGATTTTGTTCAACATCTATCGTTTCCTGAGTTTGATCAACATTCATAGATGGGGACTCAACAACGACATTAGTTCTACGATTACGAATGCGTTCATCTCGTCTAAGTCTTCTCTGCTCAAGTGTGAGCGATTCTCTAATGTAAATTCCACGCGAAGAGTAATGACGTAGTCTCGGGGGTCGTTTCAGTGTCAACCATTGAAATGTGTGGGAAGGAAAGACAACCTTGAATAATCTATCTTTTCCATTTACTGGCCTTCCAGACGGTATACAGTAACAGGGTTACATTCAATGTTCAGAAAATCAAGGATATTACAGACACTCGTGAAGTCATTGATATGCGTTCCCTACAAATGTGTGATTTTAGTTCAGGGACACCACTAATGACTACAGACCTGAGCCTCTCTGTCTCCATTTGATGGTCAGCCTCTGAACTCATCGGAGATGTGTCCGAACTATAACTTCGCTACATGATTAGCCTGAGTTTGTGTCTGCACAACATTACTCTATGGTGTCGACTCAACTCAACATGGGGCATTTTACTCCGGAGGTTATCAAGTTCGCGCCTCAGTCCTACATTCTCTTCATGAAGTGCCTGAAGTTCCTTCGTAATGGCTTGAATAACTTTCTTAATACCGTCCGCAATTCGGCTTGACTTGGTTATAGCATTAACTTGATTTTCCAACTCTTCAGGTAAGAGAGCAGATGTTTTCCCATTGTTAATTTCCTGTCCATCCACACTCGATGTTCTTCTGCTTCTTCCTTCCATTGGTACCAATGCATCAGTGCGAAATCACAGAAATTGAAGATTATGATTATGATTATGATTTATTATCGGTTAGTAAAAACAAACAAAACAACACTTAATCATATAGCTCAGTGACCGATAAACATCCAGAAAAAAAAGAAATGAGCTAGGGGCACTGGATTGAGGGAGTGCAGGTGGAGGCCTTGGCAGTGAAGAGCAGTGGGGCGCCAACACTGCAAGTCGCCAGGAGGAGAGCGGCTCCGGATACCAGCTTAGTAGGTCCGTCAACTCCACCAAGGTCCACCTTTGCGGAACGGGGTTGGGCAGAGGAATATAAAGGAGTGATAACATAGAGCATAAAAAGCATGAAGTAGAGATGAAAACTGTCATTCAGACTTCCACTTGTAACGGTCAGTTCATGCATCCAGAACGCGTTCTTACGGCAAAATAAAGAAATTCACTAAGGCTAGGAAAGGAATGGAAGGACAGTACACTAGTGACCAACCAACAAAAGGACAGTGGGACAGAAGACATACATAACTAAGAAGAAAAGAACTTCTGCCCAAGGACAGCTTACAGAGCTAGAAGCGAAAGCAACATAAGGACAACAAAAAAAACAGACAGCAACACCAACACACAAGCAAGAAATGCGACTGTCCTTGAGCATTTAGGATGAAGATGAACAAAAACCGTAATGAGTACCTTCTATGGTGGCACTTGACGATGAAAGACAGTACTCACGTGCCACTATGAGTTCAGTGAGACCACAGTAGTAAGCAGGACGTGTGAAGACGTGTAGTTGTAGCAGATATCGATCAAGTCGTCAATAGCAGTTGGATAGATAGTAGATATACAACCAACGTGTCCTGTCGACGTGTACAGTAGATCACCGAAGACCACGTGGAAGTTAGCACTGCCGTTGATATCGATGTGCGGATACGACCGCACGTGAGCAGGTCAGATGAACGAATGTTAGATATCGCTTTTGCCAGCGTCACCAGCGTGCGCTAGCGTAGAGTACGCTGGGGCCGTACGCTATACTTTCCCTCGAGGAATATATTCCCCGGTAATCCTCTACTCTCTGCCGCTTCCTCTATTGATGCGTAGTATAATTGATATTTTCCCCTCTCCCCAGCGCATATCGTTCGAGGACATTCTGCGAGAGTGGGGGAGCAAGGACGCAGACAGGCAGAAGCAGAGAGATGATGGGCATCGATAGAGAGTATGGCAGAAAGCCTTGGGCTGTATGCTATACTTCCCTTTGAAGGAGATATATCCCCAGTAAATCTCCGTTCTCTGCCGCGAAGTACGAATGCAGCCTCAAGGCGGCGTAATTGAAAGGTCTGAAAGAAGTTTGAACAGTAGCAATACTCCTATTTCTCCAAGGGTATATCATGGGTGGTTAGTGAAAGCACATCAGAAAAGCTAACAGAAGAAATCAGAAGTCGAGCTCACTCAGGTTTGATGAGGCTCCTTTCTAACAAGACTGTAGATTGTAAGATGCTATCAGAAATGAAGGACTCCTGGTCTGTCGGTTTTGCAATCCTATTTCATAGAGCACGTAATTATCATCCGGGCAATTGATTAGGGCGGATCCTTAAAGGGCCGCAGGCACCGACCGCGTGCGTGGGAACTGTTTGCGGCTATGAGCTTTCCGGCCTGTTTCAGTCATTTTCTCCCTACTTTTCACTGTCTTTGGCTGCTTTTTCAGTGTTTATGATTTATGATTTATGATTTATTATCGGCATTCTATTGACAGTGGCACACATAAAAAAGGAAACACAGAAAAAAATCTCCGATAATCAACCTAGAACTCAGTGGGAAGACAGCATAAAGTGTTGCGGTGTAGAGGGGGTAATCAGTGCAGAAGGGCAGTGGCCGCCAACACTGCAAGTCCATCCACGCATCAAATAGGACTCCGGATACCAACTTAGTAGGTCCGCCAACTTTACTGAGACCCAGCTCCAACAGCCGCAAGCAAGGATTAGCAATGGGGTGCAACTAGGTAAGAAATATACATCTTGATAGTAACACAAAACACATTCAATGTAAGGCGACTTAACACGTTGGCGACATTGCGTCCCACTGCTGGGACGCACCTTTTTTGCCGCGTGGGACATTGCGTCCCACTGCTGGGATGCGGCATGGGTAAAAAACCAATTTGAAAACGTTTCAAATTTTCAACAGCTACATATTGTACAGGAAGGCATTGTAGAATATACAGTAGCTGCAAAACTAACAGTTGTTTCATTGGGAGTATTTTACGGAGGATACAAAGGAAAGTGATTTCCTTAGGAAAAAAAGGTAATTTTTGGATAAATAGAACTCAAGCTCCACATGTGGATAGCTAACGTAATAAGGTAACTTTCTACAATAGCAGATCTGGATCGAATCCAATTTACTGCCTCTGGCGCCAAAAAATTCCTTTTTTGCGCCCTCTTTCCCACGCTCCGCGTGTATGGGGCGGGAGTATTCCACAAAAATTAAGGGTTTACCTTGAAAGTAAAAAAACAGCAAAGTTTTACTAGCTTCTGCATTGATACTAGTCCTTCTGCAAGTGTTTTGGTGTGTAAACGCCCTAGCATTCATGCGCATTCCTCAAAAATAGGGAAAAATTGCTTCGTCCCACGCGGCAGACACGCGAAAAGGCGCCTTGTCGCCAATGTGTTAACACACAGTCAAAAATACAACAGTACAGGAAATAGGAATACAAAAATCACTTAATCGCCACTCAGCCTTTCAAAGTGTAATAATTTAGTTTCTGTTCTCAGAACCACCCTTGTGAAATCATAACTTTTCTCACTTTGCTCCTAAACGACTTAGGAGAACTCGAATTTATAGTACTGGTTGGCAAACTATTCCAAAAACTGATAATCCGTTGAGTAAAAGAATTGCGGTACTCTGTTGACTTTATTTTATCTCTTATGAGCTTATATCTGTGACCTCTGGTGCGCCCAATCGTGGGGAATTTTGTTGTTAGGTGTTCCTTGTCTTCACAAGGTAAATTATGATTGAGTTTTTCTAACTTTTGCGAACAATCAAACGATTAAACAAACAAATAAACAAATACCAAAAAAATCGCGAAAAACACATCATTAACAGAGAGGCAATAACAGGGACTACGTTGAAAAAACAGAGAATACAGTGAAATTTTGGAGAAAACTTAAATTAGGGCTGGAAACAGCTGGTCGTTATGCG